TTATTATTATTACAATCCTAACTGTATGGATTACGATTCGTGGTGTTTTGAAGAAAGTGCTATGTAGGTAGGTATTAAAAAATATTATTGCATCAAGATTAAGTAAAAGTTGTCTAATAATTTGTGAAAAACAAAAATTACTGAAATACATCACGGTTTAACAATTATAACTCTAGAAACTATGTCCTTCAATCCTTATGCCTACAAATAACACTTGATCGTAGCTCACTAGGTACTGTAAATATATAATTAACTACGAATATAAATTTTAGTAGTAATTTTCTACTAGAAGTAGAAGATGCGTTTATTCATCAAAATATTAACTTGTTCAAGATTATTCAAACTAAGTATATCTAATGTGACTAAAAATTAAATACTGTTACGTGTTATTGTTCGTTGATTCGGAATAATAAGCCTTCTGACGGCTAAAATTGGTGTTTCACACAGATTTTTGTTCAGTTCTTGGAATGAACACTCACAAAATAATCAACGGTTAGAGGTACTCGCAGTCCCTCCCGACCCAGGAAATAGACAGGGTAAACATATTTTTGTATTATTTATGTCTTGAATATATGTATTTTGTTTTTTTTTAGTTAGTACACCGTTGTAATAGTAATTTAAAAACTAACATTTAAGTACTAAGTTCATTATAAATTCAGCAGAACGTCTACAAACTGTTAGAACAGTTTGGCGAATAGAGACATTGTAAAAAATGTAACTCAAATGTGAATAAAGTTTATAAAAAAAGTTCCCGGGACTTCATTATGCGCGAGGTTACACAGAAGAGGTCCTAGGAATGACGGATTCTTCGTCGTCTCGATCCATATACGATGATGACCTGTCATAAAAACAAGCCCCGAAGATATCTCGCAGGTAGGGGAGCAACTGGCAATACACTAATGCCTCTCTAGACTCCGACAGATAACCTCTTTCTTCAACCGTAATAGAAGACAACACAAGATTTACTGAATTAAATGTACAGAAAGAAGTTTTTTTAAGTTAAAAATTAATAACACTACATAAAAGACAGTATGAAGCAGGTCCGACTGCCTGCTTCAGCAATACTTTCCATCGAAGCTTGAGGACTTCGGTTAAGCAAAAAGTGGAATAAATTACTTTGGTAAGAAAATAAAACCTTTTTTCAAATCTATAAGCTTTCTAATATTCTGATATCATGCATTTTTTTTCACTATCATGAGTAGGTAGGCGAAATAGATGTATTGGACACCTGTCTTTGGAACGAAAGAAAAGGGGCCTCGCTGATGCGACTTTGCCCACGTCTATATTAGTCCACGCTACGCCTCTGCTTAGTTTGAGTGTAGGCCCTAAACGCCAGCAAGGACGAACTACTGCAACGACCGCAGCGGGCGCAGGCCATCGGGGCTGGTCATAAGGGGATACCGCACAGCCCCTTTTGAGGCGGTGAGTCTCCTGGCCGGCACTCCACCGTGGGAACTGGAGGCGAGAGTCGTTGCGACTCTATATCAGTGGCGCAAAGAAGGCGCGGGAGTTGGGTCGGAGTCCTGAGATAGAGAAATCGAGGACCAGAAATCCCAACTCTGCCGGATCCTCGTGGAGGAGTGTGCGTTACCCAAGTGGAAAAAGTTCGAATTTCATTATTTGAGTTTAGCAGATATTTAGTATATGACGTCGTGAATGGTAAGTAAAAATTTGTGCATCCAACCATTGCGGAGTTATATACGAAAAACCGTTTCCGCTGGGACAACGTTGTAACAGCTTCGCTTTGTTTTATATTATGGACGTAGAAGAAAAAAATTGATATCAAAAATTTGTGTATGGCGAGAGGTAATTCTTAAAATAAAATTTGTGCGTCAATTAACTGAGAAGATTTTCAAGTTTGTAAAAACGGTTTTAAAAAACCATACCATTAAGAAGATATAATCTTAATCTAATATTATAAAGCTGAAGAGTTTGTTTGTTTGGTTGTTTGTTTGTTTGTTTGAACGCGCTAATCTCAGGAACCACTGGTATGATTTGAAAAATTCTTTCAGTGTTAGATAGCCCATTTATCGAGGAAGGCTATAGGCTATATATCATCACGCTAAGACCAATAGGAGCGGAGCACCAATGAAGAATGTTTCAAAAACGGAGAAAATTTATTACTATTGAGAGACGCAGACGAAGTTGCGCAGGTCAGCTAGTATGAATATAAAATAAGGTTATTAGGTTCTAGTACTTAATGCACTTAATACAGTAAAAAACAATGGCGAATTCGCAGTTGAGTATACTTTGAGCGTGTTAAAATGTCATTCATAGGAAACTAATTCCAGTAAATATCTACGTTTATTGAAACTATCATCTAAGCCATCAAAACCCCAGATTGTGTCAATTTACTTTATCAGTTTAGTGTTGCCACCATGTTTAGTTTTACAGCCAGGTTTTTCAAGTAGTGGAAATACTGTCCAATAAAGTATCGTTATATGGTAATCACTTAATAATTTAGAAATCAGATAATAGTTTTATAATTCTAAGTACTAAATCAATAAAGAATATGGTTTGTGGTGCATTATTAAACGCATTATTTACGTATTTGACAATCTTGTAGTGGAATATAAGGAAGAAACAAAAAGTGGCAACTGCAACCTGAAAAAAGCAAAGGTTTGTTGACAACTCTTGACAGGTGTTTTGAGCTTTGTGTTTAAAAAAATACTGAACGGCTGACGCGACAGGCGGCGAATGGCCGCTGCCAATTATATCAGTTTGGGTTTACAATTTACAATTCATTACATGTTGAAATAGATAATAAATTAAGGAAAAGGAATACACTTATTGGATATATACATATATGCAGATGTACATAAGTATAAGATGATTATTTCATGCATCCGACACTAAGTGAAATAAAAATATAACTTAAGAAAGTTCTGTAGTTCTATAGCTAGTGGACTATAATATTTTTTTATTATCTTTTTTTTTATTTTATTTAAAGGGCACACATTATACAGTTATAATTATGAAATAGTTATGTAAGGTCGTTAGCCATAGACAAATTTTGATAAAATAAAGGAAACATTATGCAGCTATGTTATAAAAGACTTGAGTCAACAGATAAAAAAATGCAATATCTTTTTTCCTACCCTTTTCCAAACAAAAGTGTTTTACACATAATTATATTCAAAAAGATTTTCCAATACTTTTTTCACTACAAGACGGTGCAATTTGATTCCAAATATTTCCAAGTAGAGACCCGCCATTGTTTATTAGAATGTTACCTGAATTTACTGTACTGTATAACTTTTTTGTAGCCATGGGAATTCGGTCGGGTTAATTGTAATTCGGTATTTTAATTGTAATTCGTTAATGAGTGTAAAGAATTGCACTAATTATTGGAATAGGTTTTATTAAGCATTTTCTTTAGAATCTCGTGCAATAAGACTGCATATGAAACTGGTCCCCAGTCATGGTAAAATATCCAATACCTCATAAATTACTTATAGTACATCAATGATACTTGGCAATACGTTATAGATGCTTACAAGGTATGTATAAACGTTATAAACTAGATCCTAGTGCATAAGCATTTAGTACTAGGACCTAATAACCCTATTTTACGTTTATGTCTTCTGCATGGTATGGTTTTTTCTAAATCCGTTTTTAAATTAGTATTAACTGATTCAAAAAAACGTATGAAAAAATCTACACCTCTAGAAAAGAGTTTATGTAATCTAGCAAATGGCCAAACTTTAATACCTTCGCAGTTTATTGACGCACAAATTTCATTTAACACACACAATTCTCTCAAGTCATACACTAATTTTCGATACCATTTTTTTTCTTCTACGTCCATAGGATAAAAAAGTGCCGCTGTGGCAACGCTGTCCACTTGACATTTTTTTTATAATATCGAAAGTTTTTGTGAATAACTCCCCAATGGTTGAATGCACAAAATTTACTTACCATTCACAATTACGTCATACACAAAATGTATCTGTTAATAAATTCGAACTTTTTCCGCTGGGGCGTGGAGTGGAAGGAGCGACTTAGGCAACCGAGCGCCGGGCACGCCATTATCGCGTCGTCAAGACACGTTATATGGAGGATTGGCTCTAGAGGCATCACGAAACCCCTTCATACCGGCTGACGTAGGTGATCACCGGCAAAGGATATACTTCGGATATCACCTGTCTGATCCGCAAGGAGCCAACGCCTGAGTGCCACCACTGCGATAGTCGGACCATGGAGAAGGCGCTCCACACGCTATGAGAATGCCCGGCGTGGGTGGAGCAGAGGCGAGGCGTGACCTCGTGGCGGCCATCAGAAGTCACAGGACATTTCAATTGAAGCAGAAATGACCAAAATTATTCACTGCACTCATGATTGATTGCCTTATAGGTTATACGGCAATCAATCATGAGTGCCATAGGTGATTAGATAGGTAGGTTCTACAAGTAAGGTGTTAAGTATAAAGACGTTTACAAAAAAATAAAATTATTTTCACACAGGTAAAAAGGAGCTTTTATTATCTGAGAGTGTCACAGTACTAATGATTTCAATACAAATAAAAGACTTTTTAAGTTAAAACATGCATCCATATAAATTTATAATAAAATAATCACCTTTTAGAAATACATTTTTTTTCTTGGGGCTTTGGAACCTGCATTTAACATCCATTATCATCCAATTTCATTGCACAGCTTAAATCATGGATTTACAAAACTTGTATAAGTTACTTTGTAGTTTAGAAAATATAATACACAATCATGTTGTAGGTACAACCAAAAATCAAAGCAATATATTATTAGAATAATTAAAATATCACATTTTTTATCTATGATACTTCGCAGTTCCATGAAAACCTTCCCCAGCTTTCCAATAAGATAAATTTGCAGAAATTCTTAGACAGTATAGCTTCTGCAACAACAATAAAACAAAACACTCTTCAGTTGTACAGACAAGACAAATATGTGATGGATATGTGTGGCACAGCTAGAATTAACATGCACTACAGAAATGTGCCACACTGTGCATCTGCCGGGTGTTTAGGCCTGGCTCTCATTGGTAGTAGTCTCAATGGAGGCACCAGCAGGCTTATTGTTGGCTTTTGGTTTAGCCTGTTGTTGTTGTGGTGATGGAGCAGAGGCTGGGACCTCTCCCTCTTGTCCATTCTGACGAGGGGCCTGGTTTTGCTGTGGCTGACCCTGGCCCTGCTGGTAGTTGCGCGGTCGCGCGCGGCGGTATCCACCGCGGTTCATAGGTCCGGGACCACCACCGCGACGTCCACCCCGGAAATTGCGACGGAAGTAACTGCGCTGTTGCGGTGGTGCTCCACCTCCCTCCTGACCTTCATCCCCCTGTGCACCCCCCTGGTTGGGCGGGGGTCCACGACGTCCCATGCCACCTCTACGTGGAGCGCCCTCACCGCCACGTCCGCCTCCTTGGCGGGGGTAATACCTGCAAATACATAATCCGTAGAAGCAATGGCTGACAGACTTCTTACAGACTTTGCTTTAACAACACTTACTGGCGATGGAAGCCGCGGCGTTTATCAGCTGCATAGGGCGAGCCCTTTACCGGCTCACCACCGGGACCTGTCACTCCGGCTGCTTCATAGCCTTTCTCCCCGGCAACCACGGCAAACTCCACCGCCTCCCCGTCGCCGACCGAGCGCACAGCCTTGCGTGGGTTGTTCCGGGCGATTGCAGTTTGATGTACAAACACGTCCTCCTTAGTGTCATTCCTAGTAAAATGAAAAATCTTAAATCTTTGATACTTACATGTGTTTCAAAAAAGTAATCAACCTATAAACAATCAGTAAGTATCCTAACATATCATGAGTTCTATAAAAAGATAATAAAAAAGAAGAAAATATCACAGCTTTTACAAATCCCCTTGACATCCCCCATAAACAAATGTAACACAGTTATAAGAATCAAAGGTGAAGAAAACCAACTAAGCTCCTAATACTTTTTTTAATAGTAAACCTTGAAAAGTGAATGTAAGATACCTGTTGATGAAGCCATATCCACTTTTCACATTAAACCATTTGACGGTTCCCGAAACTTTCTCCGCTGAAAAATTAAAGTCAATGTGTCAATTATTTGTTAATTGATTTCCAGACTATTATTGAAACAATTTTATGCTTTGCAAACAATCATCTATCAACCAGACATTCTATACTTTCTATATATTTTTTGAAAACTACCATCTAAGCCTGTGTCTGACCATATGCATTTAACAATATGGTACTATTAATTTCAAATAAACAAGGTCACCCCTTATGCAATTCATTAATACCCAGCATTTGCGTTAATATTTTAGATTCTATTAGGTTTGCCAACCATGCCGGTCATTCTTTATAGAATAAAACATACAAATATTTTATACATCAGTTATGTCTCATCAACACAATAATGCTTGTGCTCGCAAAGCAAAATTTAAAGTACATGTAATTTTTTTATTTATTATAAAATACAAACAGTATGCATAATAAGGTGAGCAAAGACTGGTTGTTAACAAAACGTAAATAATTACCAGATATGCCCAGTTTTCAGAATAGTATCTTCACATTGAAGGGTAGGTGGAACTTCTAAGTTGGTAAGTTTATAACCCACTACAATTATAATCTATGAACAATTATTTCCTAAACAATATAATCCAATGAAGACATCTGCACACACGCCATATAATTGAATTTTCAGGAAAAATGTAAAAAATATTTGTCTCACTAAAATTGAACATAAATTCGCAAGCTGTATCTGCACCTTACATTGCGGCGTCATTCACGCTTACATTAGCTTATAAGATGCAGGAAGAAACCAATTTAAATAAATCTTGATACTAGATAAAATTATTCAATATGGCTTCAGGATGCAACGAATCGAGGCTCCGTTATTGATTCGTCCCGCGTGACGCGAAGTAGATAGGTATACACCTAGTTGTAGCGGGGTCAGCATTCGATCGATAACGGCACATCCTACTCTTCTAACTAAAATAATATTGTTTCTACTTTTATATAAAAGATTCCATCCCATTAAATAAATAATTTACATCGAAGTTATAAAATACCGCAATTTCAGAAACATGTGCTTTTGATAAATTTGACGCCGGGACACGCAAAAACTAAGATGGCGTAGCGGCACTCACCAATGACCTGCTTTTGTTTAGCCGCTTTAGCTTGTTGCGGTTGCTGTGGGGGTTGTTGCTCTTGCTGCTGCTGCTGTTGGGGCTGCGGCTGGGGCGCTTTTTCGGTATCAGCCATGGTGTAATTGGCGAACGGCGATGGTGGCTAGATGGTAAATTCCTCCACGACCTCTCCGATGTTCACTGGTCTTCGTCGTCGTTACAATTGATTTGATTGACCATCAGTGTGACCGTTATAAAATGTTACTAATCTACTAAATTCGTCAACTTTTCTACTAAAATCTACTGAAGTAGATTTAGGTAGAAAAGTTCCGAATACCGAAATGCAACCAACCTTCATTTTGATGCATTTGAATAATGTGGTTGAAATAAAACAGGTTTTTTTTTAAAATTAGATTGAGAATATTTATTATCCTTACAATTACTGCTTAATCTAATCATATTAGAATCAAGTCCAAAGTTAGTACAATTTTCTCCACCCCAATTATTAATTGTTTTGTGTGTAAAAGCGATGATATATGTGTATTTAAAAATCGATTACGATGTTTAGTTTTAATTAAATTAACTTGCGAAAATATACGTTCACAAAAAGCGTTCGATACGGGCAAACACGTGTGCGTTACCCCAGCAAAATAATGTCGAAAATGGTCATTTAAACGTTATAGATAATTAGTTGCTCCGCTTCTGTAATTGTTAGGCACATTTTTAAATTTGTTTCACTTAAACTTTTTTAGTTATTTCAAAAAAACATTTCCTGCTGGGGTAACGTTTGAAACGTTACCGCAGCCAGACATTTTCTTTTTTAATTGTAATATTTAAATAAATGTTAGCTAAATAATTAGTTATCTGGACTAGGTAAATGTTACAACTTATTTGGTATTTGTATTTTCTTCGGCTGCGAAGTTATTCGAGATCCTGCTGGAGTAACGTTTGTGGGTTTGCTGGATCTCTGAAACGGGTAAGCGGGTTGTAACCATCTTTTGTACATAACTTTTTAAGGATTAGTTTTAATTTGTTCGACAATAAAATAACAAAAATAATGGACCGTTTAAAAATTATTTAGGTAAGTATGAAAACACTTCAATACGTCCTAACACTTTGAATAAGACCTCTAAAGACTTACTTCAAACGTTATTCTATTGCTTGTAACTACCTTCAAATGTATACGAATTTTCGTAAGAATACTGTAAGTGACTAAAAAGTTATGATGAAATGTAGCTCTCCACGTTCACGATCACAATGTGTGCGGCCTTTTTTGGCCACCGATAAACCTGTGTGGGGATATATAAACTGAATGTTATGCCAATAATTAGTTGTTTAGTTCAGTTGTCTACCTGTAAAATTTCAGCGTCGTACATATAATAATTTACGAGATAATTAAATAAAAGTCATTAGAAGGTGCAAGACCGTGGTAACCCGACCATGTTTAGGTGGTTACATAAAAGCGATCACCCAGTACATTGTGCTGGCTTTTAAAATATGTAGGATATTATTTGCAACTTTACTACGGATATGTACAGTGTACAGTGTTACAGAAAACTACATGTTTTTAAATAATTTTTATTTAGGATTGTTTATTGCATAATTAGTAATCAGCCGGGAGATTAGGTATTGTTTTGAATGCTTTTGTTTTCTCGTAATGTTTAGGTGAATTGTTTATAGTTGTTCATAGAATTGGTACCTGTGTAGTATTTGTTAATTGAAGTTTAATTTTAGGGTAGGTATAGGTAATTTAAGTTTTGAAGAGTGTAACGTATGCGTTGTAAATAGGTATTTTGTAAATAGATTGAGATTTTTTTAAAGTGATGAATCGACTTAGGCTAGCATATCGCGAACAAACTCTGCAGTGCATTATTTCTGTAATAATGTTGGAGAAAATAAAATATTTGATCACAAAATCGCGGTGAGTTAAATTATAATAAAATAAATTATTTATGTAAAATTAGTAATAGTGATATACCTACAAGTTATGATCGTTTTTAATTTGTTCACCCCGACCGAAACTTCAATATTAATATCCTATTATAGTAATTAACATCCTAAGACAAGAATTCGCAATTACTTAAATTGAATCTAATTAGCATTAATTCCCATTACTAGTAATTAGGTACACACATATTGAAGAATTCCCAAGAATACGATAAATATTTGCAAAAATAGAAAGCGGAAGCGCACACGCACTTTACAAGACGTATATTATCTGCCTAAGGGTCAAGTTTAGTGCACTAGATGCAAATTGCAAACAATGAAGTATCCCTTCGCCCCTCCCCTCCCGCGTTCTAGCTAAGGATGTATTATCGGCGATTCTTGGTTGACAAATATTATCTGACCAATAATTTTATCTATAAAAATGTATCACTTTCATTCGATAAATTAAATTACCGTTATTATATCTAAATATCATTCAACAACTGTTCGTTTTTAACAGAAATCAACAGTCACAGGTAGGTACATAGGTATAGATAATTCTCGGTTCTCGGTATAGACCACAGAACAATTAACAAAAATTAAAGAAATGAAACGATTTCTTATTGGTTTAAATTTTCGATTTATTGCAGTCAGGTGAATCGTTCATACATGTATCTACATATTTATAATTTTAGCGGGCCAGTGCAGATTTTCTGTTGATTGTAGCTCCGGTAGTTAAACAGACTAAAGAAATTTTAAAACAAGAACAAAGAAAACAATATAAAAGAAGAACAAAATAAATAATAGGTAATAATAATGAATAAATATTGAATGTATTTAACACTGTACGCAACTGTACCGAAATCGTAAGGTGTATTAGACTAAACATTTTAAAAGACAGCGCAATGTACTGGGTAATCGCTTTTTTGTAACCACCTAAACATGACCTAGCTAAAATTTATTTCAATATTACAATTAAAAAAGAAAATGTCTGGCTGCGGTAACGTTTCAAACGTTACCCCAGCAGGAAATGTTTTTTTTGAAATAACTAAAAAAGTTTAAGAGAAACAAATTTAAAAATGTGCCTAACAATTACAGAAGGGGAGCAACTAATTATCTATAACGTTTAAATGACCATTTTCGACATTATTTTGCTGGGGTAACGCACACGGCAAACACATCATCGCCTTTGCGAATTTACAGATATTATCATATTTCAATTTATTATTACTATCTGTTCATATATGAACGCTAGCCCAAAACTTATCAGTATCCTGTGACACTGTAGAGTCACTGGACGATGCCTGTAAATTTTAAACATTCTCATCCCTACCCATATTTACAATTAATTTTGCTACTTTAACACCCAAATACATTTGATTAATATCAAGAACATTTATTTCACTGCTAGGACCAATATTTTCTATAGTAGTCGCTGTTATGCATAAATTTTTAAAGGCCTTATGCATATCGCTCATATCCCTATATAATCCATGGACGGCACCATATGCCGATTGTAAAATTGTGTTAAATTTATTAACAATTGGTAATCCTAAAACAAAAAATATAATTTTGATACATAATCATCAAATTTAACTTTTAAAAATTCAGGATTAAGATTGCGATCTAATAAATATTGATGATTAAAATACAATTTTAAAGCGTCCCGTTGTTCGATTATTCTATTCACACAGCCATGTAAAGAAAGACTTCTAATCTCGTAATATCGCAATAAATTGTGCTTCTCAGAGTCAACAAAATTTTTAAATTCGGAATATTCTCGTTGTCGCTTACTGCTGTGACTAAGGTAGTTGTGAACATCTTTAACAAGCTGTTCAATATTTCTAGGCAGTTCTTTACATGCATAGCTTACAGATGGGACAACAGAGTGACATACACACTTTACAAAACTGCAATGAGGATTAATAGAATGTGTTTTTGACACCACACTCCAGTTAGTATCAAAAATTATATTAGTTGTATCAGTATATATTTTTTTTCAAAGTCATTCGATTACGCATCAAAAATATCTTGTGAAGATTCTCCTTCTAAAGTGATAAAAAATAAAAATTTGGTCACAGCACATTTGTTTGAATAATTAAAATACAATACAGATTGAATTTTGTCACTACTAACATCTATAGTCTCATCAATTATTATAGAAAATATGTTTTTCCCCGAGGGCGACATGAAACTACATCTTCGAACAGTTTTTTTCCGAAAGTTGGTGCTATAGCGTCATATACAATATGTGATTAAGGTTATCACAAAAAATGAAATAACCGATAACACGGTTCAATATACGACGGTTAAAATTAAAAAAAAATGAGAAAATACAGAAATGCAAATTTAGAACAAAATAAATACGAAAAAAAATTACCAAATTATAACACCATTGTTAACATGAGTCGGTGACCTTTAATTTCTATTTCGATCGAGGCAATTTCTACGACATCACAGCGACGTCGTATCACTTGCTTTTTAAAATCTATTTATTAAAAATACGATTTTATTCACGTGGTATTTCGGCAATGCTCCACTAGCTTCGAACTTAGCAGTAAGTATCACTCCTTGAAAAAGTAGGTACTTTGGTTGTCTCGTAATCTTACAAAGATTACTACCATTCCATATCTCGGTTTGTCCGTAAAGCTAAAGGTGTGTTTTGATAGAGTTCCCGGTAAATTAACATCATGTCAAGATATTCCGGGGCTGTGAAGGTCACTCGCGGCATTATGGCTGTCGATAACGATAACCCAATAAAATTAAAAAACTGATAATGCACTCACATTTTTTTTTTTATGTTAGAGGGGGCAGATGAGCAGACGGGTCACCTGAATGAAAGTCACTATCGCCGCCCATGAACGTCTACAACGCAGGAGTCACAAACGCGTTGCCGGCCTTTTCAAGAAGGAGTACGCTCTTTTCTTGAAGGTTTAAAGGTTGTATTGGTCCGGAAATACCGTAGACGATAACCCGTTCCACAGATTGGTTGTGCGGGGCAAAAAGTGTCTCGAAAAGCGCACAGTTGTGGAGCGCCAACTATCCAGGTAATGAGGATGAAAATGTTGCCATGTGGAACGATGGCGGAAATTTGCGCCTGGTATTAGACCGGACAATTCCTCGGAGCACTCTCCATGATATATGCGATAGAGAATGCAGAGTGAAGCCACATCCATACGTAACGCCAAAGGATCGAGCCGATCGGAGATGTTTGGGCTATCGACGATTCGAGTCCCTCTTCGTTTGATGCGGTCCAGAGGGAGAAGCTGGTACTGAGGTGCCCCTGCATAGAGATGAGAACAGTATTCCATATGCGGCCGGACTTGCGCCTTATACAGCTGAAGGCGGTGGGCCGGAGTGAAATACTGCCTCGATCTGTTCAGTATACCGAGCATCTTCGAGGCCAATTTAACCTTACCCTCTAAGTGACCCCGAAACTGGACTTCGCTCGATATGTCGATGCCTAGGATTCCGATGCTGGCTGAGGCAGTTAGGGAGGTGCTCTCAAACTGAGGTGATACGACAAATGGTATCTTTTTTGCCGTGAACGCACATACCTGTGTCTTTTTTGGGTTAAACTAGACTAAATTTAGTCGACCCCAATCTGAAACCTCCCATAAGGAAGTTTCAATTTCAGACACAAGTTTGTTTCGACTCTTGATGACGTTTTCCCGAGAAATGTTGGGGCAGCCGGTATAAAGGTCATCTTCTGTGCTATCGTCTGCATAGCAATGGATGCCACTAGTTTGCAACATGTCATTGATATGCAGAAGAAACAGTGTGGGTGATAGCACTCAGCCTTGTGGGACACCAGCATTTACGAATTTCAAATCGGAGCATGCACCGTCGACAACGACCTCAATGCTTCTGTCCGCAGGGAAGCTGGTGACTCAAGTACACAATTTCTCGGGATGCCCAAAGGAAGGGAGCTTCGAGAGCAGCGCCTTATGCCAGGCCAGGCCAGGGATCAAAGGCCTATGTCCAAACTAACCGCACAAGCCTCTCCTTTGGTCTCGATTGCCTGTGCCCACCGGTGTTTTAGAAAGACGAGCTGCTGAGCGACCCCGGCGAAAACCATATTGCCGGTCATTGAGTGGCTGGTGATCATCCAAGTACCGGAGGAGCTGGCTGTTGATTATGGATTCCATAATCTTAGAGAACAAAGGGGTTATGGCAATAGGCCTTTAGTTGGACGGGTTAATGCGGTCACCTTTTTTAGGGATCGGATGCACAAACGCTACCTTCCAGGAGTTCGGGACGACGCCTTATGAATAGGAGAGACGAAAAGGGCGCGTTAAAACCGGTGCCAACTCCGGAGCACACGTCTTCAACACGATAGGAAAAATTCCATCGGGCCCACACGACTTATGAATTTCGAGGGAAAAGAGTGTTTTACGCACTGATTTTTGTGTGAACCGGATATACGGCATATAGCTCTGGCACCGCGGTATGGTCGGCGGTACGTTTCCCCTGTCATCCAAAGTCGAGTTGGATGCAAAGAAATTGCCTAAAAGTTTCACACTCACACACTACACACACAAACTCGGGACTCGTCACAACACGAAGTCTTGCCCACACGATAACATTAATTGTTCACGACACTGCCGTCTATTAAATACAAAAGAAATTAATAACACTAAACAATAATTAACACAACAAAACTTTTCTAAACACATATCTCACGAACAACAACAATATTATTTTTGCGATAATTTGTCGTGAGCGCATCTACAAGGACACAGAACAGCATAACACTTAGCGATTCGAGGTGGCTAAGGGCCGACTGGCCGACTGACTGTACTTACTGGATGAACTAAATAAAAAAGCGTAACCTTCATCCTGATGACGCAATAATCAACATATTTCGATCGATTCGAGTAGTAAAAGCGGCAACGTGTGATTACCGCGCCGCATATACTGCTGAGGTTCTGAGGTCAATAATGCTGTAATGCTGCATATTGTTTTCATGTTTGCTACTACCACTGTGTTCTTTAATAGACGCTAATCTGCTTAACATTTTAACACCGTAAGCTTTACAGAAAGCATGATTATTACTGTTTATATCTTTACAGAGCCACGAAGAGAATAATAGGTTTTACACCCTTTCACCGCGATAGTTTTGTTCAAATTTACGTTTCATTGTAATTATAAGTACGCGATGCATCTGATTGCCACGAGATCTAAACGAATTATTTATGAGAATGACAAATTGACATAAGGCAACAAATAGGGAAATTACCCTTTAAACTAGTTTAAACGATACTCTGAATCGTAATTAAAATAATTATTAAAATATACTCTATTCTCTAAACATTAAAGTGCAAAATTTCATGTCAGTCGGGCTTAAAAGTATACGGTCGGGGGAAGCCCCTGCTGCAAACGTACTAATATAAGCGCTGCCATTGCTGCAACCATAATTTATAAGCTTGGCACAAGTCCTTTCACTAAAATATACTAGATGTTTTAAAACTACTGTATTATACTGTATTTCATAGGAAGGTCAAAACTCGGGCACGCCGTCATTGCGGCGGTAAGACCCGTTATGGAGGATTGGCTCGAGAGGCGTCACGGGACCCTCTCATACCGATTGACGCAGGTGATCACTGGGAAGGGATGTTTCGGAGATCACCTGTGTCTGATCCGCAAGGAGCCAACGCCTGAGTGCCACCACTGCGATGGCCAGACCGTGGACACGGCTCTCCACACGCTGGCAGAGTGCCCGGCGTGGGTTGAGCAGAGGCGAGACCTCGTGGCGGCCATCGGAGTGGGAGTTCTCTCGCTCGATAGCCTGATTGCGGCTATCGTGCGGAGCGAGAGTGCGTGGAACTCTGCCGTCTCCTTCTGCGAGCAAGTTATGCACGCGAAGGAGACGGCGGAGCGGGACCGGGAGAGGTTTAGAACTCTCCCGGCCCGCCAGGCCCGGGCACGGGCCAGGCAGCGCAGGCGGCTCAGGCGCCGGAGGTCGCAGAACGACCTTCGTCCTCCATAAGCGCAGGCCTGGGGGTGACAGGTGAGGCCATCTGTCACCCTAGCAGAAGCAGGCCGGGGTGGCGGCGAGCGCGTTGCTAAGCGCGCTCGCTTCCAGGAGCACAGGGAACATGGGGTTCCCACACGGGGCGGGGGTTCGTCTACTCGTCTGTAGATGACCCGAGGTATGTCGGGGCACCAGGGCCTTCCTTTCTAGGGTATACCTGGTTCCCGGCTATTAGTACCCGGCGAAGGCGTGCGGTTTTAGTCGGTTCGAGTCCGACATGCCACCGACAGGTGGTATCCGAGGGATTTCCGCACGGAAAAAAAAAAAAAAAAAAAAAAAAAAAAAAAAGGAAGGTCAAAAACTATCACTGCTGCAGTAGAAAATCTACCGTAAACAATCACACTTTTGACTATCTGTTGCAGGAGGGCTGCCAGCGCATAAGAGCGAGTCACCAAAAAAAACATTGAAATACATTTCAATTAATTTTAATATACGTCAACATTAACGAAAATTGTTTATTGAAAAAAAAAAATTAATTACATTTTAGTTATTAAATTGCCACACCGTAAAATTTAATAGTTAATCGAATTTAGACACCACATAGTCAGGTAGTAAAATATTTTGATGGCACCAAATTTATTGGAGTTTGAATAACAATGGAATTACTCTATCGACTGTATCGAGTAACAAGAGCATATAAATAAAAACATCACATAATGTGTTACATAAAAGTGTAATATGTATCCCATGTATGAAATGCTATGCTATTATGCATTACAGAAAATAATTCTGTACTATTCGTGATTATCTGTGAAATGTTACTTTTTTGGATTGTTGCTGTATGCTATACTACAATCTGACATAGTAAGAGCCACTTTTATATTATTCATTTATCTTTATCCTTAAAAAACAAGCAAATCACGATTTAATCTGCAAAATAAAACGGGTTATTTCGACAAAATTTTATAAAACGCGTTTCTCTGTCAGGTTTATTAACCGAGTATAGAATATGTCTATGGTTGTCATAAAACCAATAAATAAAATATAACCATAAATCTAAATTTTAGTTTATGCTAATCAATGATGCAAGAACCATAGATAAAACACCATAAATAAACCAGCAACAACAACAATGACAGCGAAGAGCATAGGCGGGAAAATACGTGTTCTATCAAAATTTTAAATTATTTTCTCTGCATCTCTCTGTATAGAAATATAAATTTGTATCTTAGTTTGTGAATACAGTAGTAGTGTAGATATTTATTTTGTGTATATTTTATTCTAAATAGTGTATAAAAAAAAAAGGGGTAGGTTCCTCGAAATTGCCATTAATAAAATTAGCAGATATTGTAACAAAAAACAAAGATAGGAAAGAGAGAGAGAGAGACGACTTTCCATTGACGTTTTGACGTTGACCATTCCATACCATTCCGTCGAATTAAGGGGAGGGAGGGGTGAGCATGGCAGGGGCAGGGTTACTAACCCCCCTTTAACAGAAAAGTAGCGTAGTCCCCCCTTTTGAAGTTTTTTAAAAAATTTAATTCTGATGAAATTTTCCTCATTTTATGGATTAAAATTAATAAATTAAGAAAATTAATAATAGTACTATTATTAATTTTCATTATAAATCACACATCATAAATCACAGTCAATTTCAGGGCCGTGAAAGTCCTCAATAGCTTGCTTTTACGTTGATACTAACGCCATCTCATAGGCGTCAAAACGCACTAGAGCTGTTTAATTCCTTTGAATCCATAGAGATGGCGCCACTACCGCAACTTTGCAACACATTTTTTTTCAATAAGTAAATAAATTATTTAATATATTATATATAAATATTTTAATATTTCTCTGATAAAATATAGCATTTCACAATTTTTTATTAAGAAAATTTAATTCATTATCATTCATCATTATCATTTTTAATAGTAGCAACTTCAAATTTTTCAAATTTAAATGTCATGGCGGCATTAACTATACGTTTTGTTTGACTTGGCTTTTTGTACTGGATTCTGTTTTGTAACTTAATCACTACATAATGTCATCAAATAAATATTGGAAGTGTTATTTCCTGTGTGAAACAGATGGTAAGTGATTGTACATATGAGTTTATGGTGTATAATCAGCTAACGGATTTATGAAGCAGTTTTTATCTTTTTTAAAATTAGCTTATACCTAATACTAACTCATTTCAGGTGTTTTACATCGTTTTCCAAATCCTCAACATAACGAAGAGAGGTTTAATTTATGGATGAAAGTTCTAGATAGTGAAATGCAGAAAAGAGGTGTTCAATATATTTATAACAACATGCGACTGTGTGACCAACATTTTGAATTGTGGTATCGCACACCCAGTAGGAAACTAACAAGGAATGCATTCCCAACTTTGAATATTGGTAAGTACGAGGGGTGATCAATAAGTAATGATAATCAATATGAAACAGAACTATTAGATTAAAAAAGTATTTTATTTTTCAACATAGTCTCCTTGCAAGTTAATACATTTAGTGTATCTTTTTTCTAAGCCCATGATTCCCTTAGAAAAAAATTCTTTGTCTTGACCCTCCCAAAATGCCTCTACTGCGGCCATCACTTCACTATTGTCCTCAAATTTGTTGCCCCGGAGGTGTTCTTTGAGCCGAGGAAAGAGGTAGAAGTCACTGGGAGCTAGATCTGGCGAATAGGGAGGGTGTTCGAGCAGTTCGAACCCCGTTTCATCAATGGCAGCCATCGCAACTGCCGTGAGCCGGGGCGTTGTCTTGGTGAAACAGCACTCCAGCGCTCAGTTTACCGCGTCTTTTTGACTTAATAGCTTCTTCTTATTTGGCCTGCGTAGTAAGAGCCTGTTATAGTGGCCCCCTTTTCCAAATATTCCACCATAATAATTCCTTCTGCATCCCAGAAAACAGACGCCATAACCTTTCCCGCTGAACTTGACACTTTGAATTTCTTCGGCGTTGGTGAGGAAGCTCGTTTCCAAGTCATTGATTGTTGTTTGGTTTCGGGATCAAAGTGGTAGATCCAGGTCTCGTCCATGGTCACAAAACGCGACAAAAAAATTCTTTATCGGCCTGGAACTTTTGAAGATTCACCCTCGAAATGTCGACTCGTTTCTTTTTTTGCTCGTCGGTTAACATTCTCGGTACCCAACGCGCAGAGACCTTTTTCATATGCATTTTGTTGACAATGATTTTTTGAACGCTGCCATAGGAGATCCCTGTGACCTCAGCTACATGCCTTACGGTCACCCTTCGATCGGAAAACACGATATCTTCCACTTTTTTGACGTTTTCTCCAGTAAGGGACGTGGAAGGGTGTCCCTCGCGATGTTCATCTTCAGTGGAGGTTCTGCCCAGCTTAAATTCCTTTGCCCAGCGTGCGACTGTGGAATATGGAGGAGCAGACTCCCCCAATGTTTCCTCTAAGTCGCTGTGTATGTCTTTGGTAGGTATTTTTTTCAGGCAGAGGTACTTGATGACAGCTCTTATTTCATTTTTCTCCATTTTGATGTTTTCTCTTCGACAGTTCGAATTCAAATGAATGTATCTCCCGGTAATGGTGTCCTATTTATACATTTTTTTGAAGCTGAAGTAGTGGATATATATAATATATATATATATATAAGCAAGCAGAAAAAAAATAATTTGGGTTTTTGTGCGTTCTAGAAATACTCGATTATCATTACTTATTGATCACCCCTCGTAGTTATAAAATGCTCTAAGAATTTTGAATTTGAAAAAAAAAATATTTTTATTTCATGTATTTTAAAACTTTATTATTAATTATATTGATATTACGCCAAAAATTAAAAAAAAATGTTTTCAATTAATTATAAACAATTAAAAGTTGATAACATTTAAAAAACAATCACATATTGTTTAGTGTTTTTCCCACAGTTAGCAAAAGCGCTGCCTTAGTGGTGTAGAATGGTACGCGACTGCAGTCCATGAGACCTCGGGTTCGATCCCCGGATCGAGCAAAATTTTATAGAGTTTTCTTTAAACAATTTTTTCTTTTTTTTTCCTTTGTTTTTGTGTTTTGTTGTCTATATGTATTTTACTAACACTAGTGTATAAGAATATTGATACTAACAAAGTGAAGACAATGGTCTGATTACTTAATAAAGTTTTATTTATATTATAATAATAATTATGTTCATCAGAGGAGGCTGACAGATATTTAGCACACTCTTATCTAGAGATTTATTATTATAATTTTATATGATACAAAACATTATTTTTATGACAATAATAATAAATATTATTTAACATCATATTTTTTTTAAATTTTAGCTTTATATGACATGACTCAACCAGTACTTATCCTTGACTTGCTGGTAAATATGGTACCAGAAGAAGTTCTATGCTCACTGGAAGATAAATCTGTTCGAATAGAAATATACTGGACATGGAAATAGAAACTCCATCTACATCGCAAGACATACTTCAGAGTGCAGGTAAGAATAGTAATACATATATCAATTTATTATAATAAAATAATAATAATATAATAAAAAGTTAGTAGGTTTTTTGATTAACTTATTTTTACTGATCATGATGTCATCAGAAGGATTTTTGTCTAACATTGAAGATCTATGTTGATCTATGTTTCTACATAGATCTAACTTTAATAAATTGAAAAAAATGGAATTTCCCAATACTATCATAGTATATTTTTTATTTTCAGTTACATATAAAGCTAATAAAGAAATGAAGAGAAAAGTTTATAAACTTGAAAACAAACTGAAAAAATTGAGTGTGAAATGCAAAACTCAATCTAAGAAAATTAAATGTGCCAATAATTTGTCACATTCATAGATGTTTCTAAAATATATAGAAAAGCTTCCTGAACCCATGCAAGTTTTTACCAAACTGCAAATGAAACAGAAATACAGACCCTAAGGAAGAAGGTATACTCCTGAAGAAAAAGTTTTAGCTCTGTCTATTCTTAAACAGAGTGCGAAAGCATATAATCTTTTACAAAAAATGTTTGTATTGCCTTCGAAAAGGTGTTTGCAACAACAGTTAAGCAAAATTCTATTGGAGCCTGGAATAAATACTCATATATTCCAGAAGTTAAAGAAGACGGTTAAAAGACTACCTAAAGAAAAAAGACTCTGCACCCTCATCTTTGTTGAAGTAGCTTTAGAACCTGGATTTTATTTTAATAAAGGTAAAATTATTGGGTTTGAAGGTTATGGCCATAAAAATAACAGCCAAATTGCTGACCATGCATTAGTTTTTATGTTAAAAGGCATAAAAGGAAAATTCAAACAACCAATATGTTATACATTTTGCAAAAGCTGCACTAAAAAAGATGATCTCAAAAATCTGATTAAATCGCTCATCAAAGAAGTACACAAGACTGGTCTGCAGGTTATTGCAACAATATGTGATCAGTCACAATCAAATATAAGTGTTATTAAAAGTTTAAGAGAAGATACCACAAGAGAATATTTGAAGAAAGAATTAGAACATAAGTCTTGTTCTTTTGAGATGGACAACCTCAAGATATACCCACTTTTTGATACTCCACATCTTTTAAAAGGAGTGCGTAACAATTTACTAAAAAAAGATGCAAAATTTAAAGAAGATAGCATTGAGAAGCATGCAAAATGGGACCATATTAAGATATTGTTTAGTGAAGATGTTGGAGAACATGAAATAAGGCTTGTCAATAAATTGACAGAATTCCACATTTTTGAAAGTAAGATTCCTAAAATGAAGGTGAAATATGCAGCTCAAGTTTTTAGCCAAAGAGTATCATCTGCATTAAGATTTTTGGCAAGTAAGTATTAATAATTATTATGTAACCTATTTATTTACCTTTAGCTAACTTTTAATTATTGTTTTTTTCTTTTTCAGGGCACAAAATATTACCTCCAGAATGTCAAGACACGGCGAGCTTTCTACTAATATTCGACAAATTATTTGATTCCTTCAATGGTGTAACGGTGCATTTCGCACCATTACAGTAATTTGAACCTTAGTCTCGTTTTTGTTTTGTTAGGTTGAATTTTTTGTCGTTTCTGCGAGTGCCGATGGTCGAGGGGCGGACGAGAGTAATAATCGATGTTGTTCGCCCGCGATTAATTAGTCGATTTAGTTTTTCTTGTCCTGGCAACATTTTTTTTTCCCCGCTCTAAGGAGCGACAGGCTTTTGCACTGGCAACACGTTGGCGTCACTTTTGGACTGACCGCCGAATGAAATGAAGCAAAGCTAGTTTTTGTAATTTAATTTATTAGTAATCCTTATTTATTTGATATGGACGAGGGCCTATTTCCTCTTTAAACGTTTGGCCAACCTAGTTAGGACTCGAGCTATTGGTTCGAGTGATTATTTTTGTTGAAAAGGTAAGTTTTGTTCGGCCACGTGCTTTACGCTTGGCTTGGCGGAATTTGTGGTTTTAACTCTTTGTTTAATTGGTTACAGGCAATGATTATAATGCCGCTGCTTAATTTGTGAAACATTTTGGGACCCTGGTAAGTAATATATGATTTCTTGTCAGAGTTAGGATTCATCTTGTGAGATAGGCTTTTAACCTATAATTTTTCCTTATTTGCAGATGAATCAGGGTTTTTTAGTTTATATCTGAAGTTTTAATTATACTCTAATTTTCCTTTTATACCTAAATTTCTTTACATTCTTATTGGAATGTCATTGCGTGGCATTCGGATTTTTGTCTCTACGCCGGCCTAACCCCAAGAAATTAGTTTGCTGTGGAGCACCGGAATGGTAGGAAAAGCTGCTTAGCTGCACGCCATTGTCTGGAGCCTGGGAGTGCTAACCCGCCTCTTCCACCACGTGGGAGCCGGAGTGAGAAGTTTCGGAGTTGGTTTGATTTCATTTCATTCGGACTGATCCAAGGTCATTTGGTATGTGTTTTGTTATATCTTTTTCTTGGCGACGTGGCATTGAATACTGCAGGTCCCCAAGGGGTGTTATTTTTATTAGAGAGTAGGTCAATGCTATGTCTACCCTTAGAGTTTATTGTTTTGTCTATTAAGTCTTTATGCGACTTTATTTAAAAGCCTATAAAGGTCATTGGTATGTGTTTTGTTATATATTTTTCTTGGCGACGTGGCATTGAATACTGCAGGTCCCCAAGGGGTGTTATTTTTATTAGAGAGTAGGTCAATGCTATGTCTACCTTTAGAGTTTATTGTTTTGTCTATTAAGTCTTTATGCGACTTTGTTTAAAAACCTATACAGGTCCCCAAAGGGGTTAATTTTAATTAAGGGAGCAGGGCGTTGCTACAACTACCCTTAAACTCTTTTCTTTTTGGGTCTTCATGTGACTCTTTAAAAGTTATTTAACCTTATATTTTTCTTATTGGAAAGGATTGCATTAATGACAGTACTAATTTGTGTATAAGAATTACCTATTGTAATTAGAGACATAAGACACATTGTACTCTACAGACACTACGGGATAATAAACTGCCATTAGAACTTAACATCTTGTATTCATTAGCTGCCTCCCGCCTTGTTTTAAAAAGGTTCGGTGCTGGCTGAGATGTCCGAGGTATTTGTTGTGTTTGTGGTGGGTTCTGTGTTCTTTTAAGGTGGTATCTGGCGCCCGAGACTTTTATTTTGTTATTTTGTTTCTATTTGATGCCACCAGTCTAGTTTTTTTATTTCTTTTAAAACACACCCACACATAAATTAATTTTTTTTATTTTTTTATTATTACAATGGTCACTGTTATTCGGGTACAGACAAGAAATTGAAAGGGTGCCTTAAAAAGAATTCCCCTCATGTGAACTTTTGGAAAGAAATTCTTCCGATCATAAAATCCATTGAATTTAAAACAGTAACTAAAAGTAAAGATGGTACTGAAAAAATTAAGTATGAAAAAGTGCCATCAACTTCGAATTGGGCGGGAAATATAGAAACATTTGTTGAAATGGGGGAAATATTGCAAAAGGAACATCAAGTGACTTCCATATTATAAAGAAATTTTAACCAGGACCCTTTAGAAAATTTCTTTTGTGGTATCCGAAGCAATGGTGTCCGGAACACAAACCCTACCTGTGCTCAATTTATAAATGCATACAAAACGCTTTTGGTCAATAACTTTAGTTCACCCCACTCTGTAAACGCGAACTGTGAAGCAGATGACAATAAATGCTTACAATCATTAACAGAACTTTTGAAAACTACAGCAGATTGTGTTCAAAATGAGGAAAATATTAATCTTAATATTGACTTTTTAATAGAAAAATGGAATACAGATTGTGACGAGGATCAATATAACATAATACATAATGAATCGAAAAGGTATGTCGCAGGGTACTTAATCAAAAAATGCCAATCCAAAATTTTAAAATCCTGCAAAACATGTAGGAATATATTTTTTAATGATGAAATAGACCCTGCGACATATACTTACTTTAGGGACAATACAAAAAGATCTTTAGTACACGCTAAAGAAGAATTCGTAGAACTAACGAGAAAAATTTAGGATATTATTGTATTATGTTTGAGAGATTCGCCTCAAGACAGAAAATTGAAAGAAAAAATCTTGTATTTCATTGATTTAGATATTGATTTTAATATGATTACTTGTTTAGAACATAAGACTGTACTCATAAAATTTATAACAAATCTAGCGATCAATTCGACGGGCCTGTTGGTCTAGTGGTTAGTGACCCTGACTGCTAAACCGGAGGTCGTGGGTTCGATCCCCACCCAGGACAAATATTGTGTGATGAGCACGGTCATTTGTTCTGTGTCTGGGTGTAATTTATCTATAATATGTATGTATTTAGAAATATATAAGTATGTTTATCAGCGGTCTGGTTACCATAGTACAGGCTCTGCCTAGTTTGGGATCAGACGGCCGTGGGTGAGATATATAAAAAAAAAAAAAAAAAAAAAAATTGTCGTCCACAGTTGGTGTAAGGGCGTAAACCAAATATTAAAAGGTAAAATTGTAAATTTCGACCAAAGCGACCTTGTGAAAGTACAGGAAAGGTCGTTTCACTTAAAAAGGAGTAAAAATAAAGTTACGTAAAATACATAAGCAAGTTAGTTTAATTTTCTGAATAAAAAATATTCATATTTTTCATTTAGAAAATTAGACTGACTTGATTATTTTACGTAACTTTATTTGTGTTCAAAATGAGGAAAATGTTAATCTTAATATTTTGGGTTAATAGAAAAATGTAATACTTTTTAAATTTATTTTTAATTTATTTTTATTTTTTTATTTTAGCGCGTAGAGTGTTCACGTGCATTTTTAGACCTTTGTAATGAAGACAAGGATGCTGTATTGAGTAGAATTGTTACTGGAGACGAAACTTGGGTTGATCATTATGAACCTCAGTCGAAACAAGACTCCATGCAGTGGCATAAAAAGGCACAGCACAGCACCTCCCAAGAAGTTTAAGGTGTCACAGTCAGCTGGGAAACTCATGGCAACGGTCTTTTGGGACTCAGAAGAAATATTATTGATCGATTATAAAGATAAAGGTGTTTCTATAACCGGAGAATACTACGCTTCAATATTAGAGCGACACAAAGAAGCCATTAAAGAGAAAATACGGGGAAAATTGACAAAAGGTGTGTTGCTTTTGCACGACAACGCGGCCGTCCACAAGAGCCGCGTTGCGTTGGCTGCCCTGCATAAGGTGGGCTTCGATATTTTGAATCACCCACCCTACAGCCCAGACCTGGCCCCCAGCGATTATTACCTGTTTCCAAAAATGAAAAAAGAGCTGCTGGGTAAAAAATTTACAAACGATGATGAAGTCAAGGAGGCAGTTTCGGCGTATTTTGAAGACAAAGAGAAAACATTTTTTTATGAGGGTATAAACAAATTAATTGAAAGATCTGAAAAATGTATCCGTCTTGCAGGTGAATATATTGAAAAGGAAAAATAATTTGGTTTTTTTATTTCCACCCCTTATCCCCCATTCCGCGAACATAAAAACGCTCCCTCGTGTACTGATACTGAACCCACAATAATATACTGATGGTATAATATACACTAGGGGGCTAGTGTATTATTAAGGTAATCGTAATCGCAAAGCCAGCGCCATCTTTTAGGCAGCAGAAAAAACTTCACTAGTCTCGTCCCCCACTTTTTTGTTAGAGTTGCGCATCTATAACTTATATTAGTGTATTATCTATGGTCAATTGCAAGATGAGTTATCAATCTTCCACGGCGGTCCACATGTGATCTACATAAAAAAAATATACAGTCTCCCAATGAAAGTGTATCCCTACATACTATTTGCAGTATTGCATATATTTTTTTATGGAATAAGGGGCAAACGAGCAGACGGGTCACCTGATGGAAAGCGACTACCGCCGCTCATGAACGCCTGCAACCCAGGAGTCACAAGCATATACAAGGTTTTCATACTGTCATGCGCAGTCACTCGCATTGGTTTTTTAAAAGAAATTCCAGTGGAATGATCAGTTGCAGAGGTAATAGCAAATATTAATATTCCAGTTTTAAAGTAAATTTTAAAAGCACAAAGAATTAAAAAGAAAAGAAAAAAATAGACAAATGGTTCTAAAAACAACAGAGACAGTAGTTACTTATAACATTTGATTGCCAGATTTTACCTAAAAGAAATTTTATTTGCTATACTGCTTTACTTGTAGATTTATACTTTCACATAAAAAACAGTGTTGTAACTGCTGTCGGTTTGGACATGTTGAAGTGCGGTGTAGGTCAAAGTCAAAAGTTTTTCATGGGTGGTCAGGGTCACATTTGTGATAGCTGCTCTGTGTGGGTCTAGGATGGTACATGTGGTTTATGTAGCAGTTCTCACTACACTTTTAGTAAAAAACCCTTAGACTATGATTGACAGAGTGCTATGACAGTATGGCTATTAGCTGTATTTTCATATACTGAAGCGTCTAAGATCCACACCCAAATATCTCGGGTAAGTTATGTTGATGCCCTACTATATTCTAAACTAAGCCCACCCACAATAGTCCTTCAATGCAAATGAAAACTTACTT